AAATACATTAATTTCTAACAAAGACGTCGAAATATTAAAAAGCTTCTGTACACGTCAAACGCACCCTTCAATAGCCAACCTATTCCATTCTATTGTTTTCGCAACAAAAAAAAAAGCAAAAACATCGGTACGGCAAAAGTAGAGTCGGATTTTGTTCTGGTGGTCTGCTCTCCTTGATATAAAAAAGGTTCCTGTAAAAACATGTCACGATTGATTAGAATGTGACTGTTTGATATATCATGTAAACATATCAATTTAAACATTTTTCGGCGTTCAACTAGTGATTCCCACTTTAAATTATTCATCATGGTGGTGACACTCGCCCCAGGTTGGTACTCATTTAAATCAAATCTAGCAAAATGATTCTGTACTTTTTTAATGTTTCTATTAGGCTGTTGTGGTGGGGATCCCACACGCATATTCAATACAGTGGCGAAAAAACGTAAAGTACAAAGATGTTTCAATCTTGCCTGAACCTTGTAGAAAATTTCGTCGTACGAGTATAATATTAAGCACGTGTACAGCCTTCAGAGTTATCATTTCCACATGAGCTTTCCACGTTAAATCGCTAGACAGAGAGACCCCCAAGTATTTTACGCTCGACTTAGCCTGAATTTTTTTTATTATTTATTGTGTGGGAAGAGCCAATGGAGCTTTTCTTCAGAGTCGATCCTTCGTGAACATGTGTTCTAACGTTCAGATTAATTTTTCCATTCTTGCACCACACTAAAATATTGTCAATATCAGCCTGTAAAAAATTTGCTTCGTTCGAATCATTAATTACTCTATAACTAATGCAGTCGTCCGCAAGTAGTCTTATATTTGATTGTATTTCATTGATAATATTATATATATATATATATATATATACCAACAGTGGTTGGGTAAAGTACATCTAAAATGTACTTCAAGTACAATACAAAACAAATGAGACGTGATGTACTTTAAGTAAAGTATTAAGTACACTGGGTGCACCATACTTGAAGTAAAGTACTATAAATATAATGTACTAAAGTAAAGTACAAGTATTTTAAGATAATCTTTCATGATGGCCTTTCATTACCCCATACAGCGATTTTTTTAACTGGTATGCATTGCCCAGGGGTAATCAAAGGTGCATGAGCTATATGTTTTCAAGAACAACGGCAAATATTTGATAAGTCCACTGGCCACAGAGTACCGTATTTTCCGGTGTATAAGACGCACCTTTGTATAAGACGCACCCACCCTATATGCAGGCTTTCATTGAAAAAGTTGGTATATAAGACGCACCCGTGTATAAGACGCACCCGAATTTATCCACATAGGCTAACGAAACTAATTAAGCACGCTTGCGCGACCATTGCGAAATGCACCTTACCTGTGAGAAGTCCGGAAGACCCAACCACACGGGCGCGTCTGAGACGAGTCGGCGTTTCCCGGCGCCTGCTCGCATCGCCCGAAGGCCATCCGAAAAAAAGCGACGCGCATATCTGGACAGGCCAGACGTCGGCGTTAACCGGGAAACGCCGACGCGGCCTGTGGTTGGGCCTTTATGCGGCGTGAAGTGATCGAAAAAGCCACCACACGCCCCAACCACCCACCCCTTTGCAAAAAAATATGCAGAGCGAACGCAGAGCGAACAAAGATGAAAATGGCGACTGAAAAAGAGAGGCGGCTTGTCCTGGCTTGTCTTGGCGAGAAGCGTGATTGTCGCCATCTGTTGGCATTTCACATTACTTACGCCTGGGACCTCCGCATCCGCAACGACCGCATGTTTGCAATCTTGGAGTTCACCTAAAACATGGCACGCGGTGGTCCCCGTATTGAAGTATCACCGTGTTACGACCGCGTGATCGGTAGCGATATTTTGTTTTTGGTGAAACAAGCTTGAACATCAACCGAGTAAATTTCAAATTTCTGAACTCGCAAAAAAAAAAAAAAAAAAATTTGTGTATAAGACGCACCAGCAAGAACTTTTGAAAAAAGCCGCGTCTTATACACCGGAAAATACGGTATGCCTCGAGAGAAAATAATAATTGTTAGCTACAGTGAAACCCGTTTAGAACGAACCCACGTACAGCGAATTATTGTCGACATCAAACTCGCGGAAAATTTATATAAAAATGCATATAAACATACCTGCGAACTCTTCCGAATTTTTCGTAAAATGTACAAATTGGGACTAATTTTACGATTTTACGAATCTTGCTTCAAATCTTACGAAAAATATATATATATATATATTTTTTTTGTTGTTTTGTAACTTTGTTGTTGGCGGTATCTTGCACCGCCACAAGAGGGCGATAGGTACCGTCCAAAGCAGCGTCATGGTTTTTACTATCCGTCTATCCGGTGGCCACGGATCGAAAACCAATCCAAAGCTCAAAGCCTTTGTTTGTGTGTTCGGCGGTGCACAGGTGCACGTTGGTTCGGTGTGTTCAGACGTTGTTGGGCCTCGTTGTTTCGGCCAGTTTCGAGGCGAGAAGTATGGCGTCTGTGTTTGTTGCACGTGTAACTGTAGCATTCTCCTGGTCACTGTGGCTTCGCGGCGCAATGCCGAACTCAAAACCTCAAAAGAGGTACTTTCAGGTGTTCCTGAAGTCCTACACATAGAAATTTCCGTGCTTCATGCCGCCCAAAAAGCGAGAGAAGTTTGGATTGTGTAGCACGTGCACGTGTGATGCAAGTGTTTCGCACGCTGGCCAGGCTGACATTAAGCTGCGCATCGCTTTGTGTAACCCCCCCCCCCCCCCCCCCCCCCCCGGGAAGGCTTCCAAAAACGCGCAAACAATTTCCTTTTAGCCTGTCCCTTCCCCAAAAAAGAAGTAGAAAAGAAAGAAAATTCCAAAAGCTTGGGTTGCAAACAAAATTGAGCGAAGAAAAGCGATTCAGAAGAAGAGAAAGCTAAAAAATACAGCCTCAAAAAAAGAAAAAGAAAAATCTTTCCAGCTCTGTTACGAGGCAGAAGTGAAAGATGAAAAAGAAAGGGAAGCTCTCGCCTTACAACGAACTCATCGTGGAAGTTTGTTGTAAATGTTTTCTGCCATATCGAACTGGTTGTAGCGTTCCCTGCTCTTAGTCATAAACGGGATTGACTGTATTAAAGGAGTCATGAAACGCTTTTCCAGCTTTTTCCTGTTTAGCTTTCCTCCTCAACTCATAAATCCCGCATTCTACCAAACAGTTCAAGAAGACGGAAAGGGGGGAGTCCCCCTTGCCCGGAATCTCGCTGCCGGACACAGCCGTTGTCCCCCTAGAAGATTATCCCGTCGCTCAAAAATCAGACAAAAGTTGCTTTCCCCACCCGGTTCACCCCGAAGCTGACAGTGCTGTGGAAGCTACGTGCTCCTTGGGCCAGCCACTCTTTTGCCACGTGATCACGCGCATACCGACGCGCAGAGAATGAGGTCAGGTGATGAGAGGGAGGTGGCTGATTTGTCCGGCAAGCGCGTAGCTTCCACCGCAATGTCAGCTTAGGGGTCAAGGGAATATGTGAGGTCCGGTGCCGTGTGACGTGCGTTTGGGCCCAATGATGCGCTGCGGGTGCCCGGTGACGCGCTACGGGGTCCGCGGATGTATCCCAGTGAAAAGGCAGAGAGCTTACGAAGGGAAGGAGGTACGAAATAGTCCGCTGTGTTTTCAAAATTTTCGTACCGAAAGTTAGCCTTTTGATCTTCTACCTTTTTTCTTTTGGCCCACTGAACGATGTGCTATTAGTAAAATCCCAATATAAATTGATTTACTCCAGCCCGAAATTTGTTTCATGGGCCCTTTAAGTCATAACTTTTTGTGTATCACTGAATTCTCACTCAAACCATACGAAACTTGGTGGTAATATAGTTCCAAAAGTCAGAGTCTGGACCACCAAACTAGAAGTCCCCCGCTACATAGGTTGCACCCTCACGGACCTTGCAACTGGAGTCCTGAATGCGGGCAAGCTTTGCCTTGTTGCGACGGTGGGACCTAGCCTCAGCAGTCGGCTTGTCGGTCATCTTCCTGATCCTCCCTGGTCACACTTGTCGTTCAATCTGATAGCTGCTTCGAAAGGAACAACTCCCAACTCTTCCAGCACAAGCGAGACCCTTGCACTTGTCTTTGACCTCCAGAACGAGTTTGCACATCCCACACGTCCTGCACGTTGCACGCTCACAAGTTCCGTCAGAGCTCCAGCTCAGCAGATAACAGAGCTTATGCCGCTACCACTCCTCGCTGCCTTCTCATTTCAGAACGCTGTTAGCCCCTTTTATGATGCGCTCGGAAAGTTAGCAGCATTGACGATGAAAACAGAAGCGCTTGACTGACCGGCAGTTGTGTTGCACGAAGTCGCCGTTCTGCTCGCACAACAGGGCTGCTTCCGTGGCGATTGTGCACTTTCGCTTTGATTTGGATTTCCTCTTGTACGGCCGCATAGTCCGGCTCTTGATACGACAAAGGTTACGCTTCTTCTCGCCATCGATCGTGGGATCTCCCAAAAGGGCAGCAAACTTGGTTTTCGTTTGAGAAGATAGTGATGCAGTGCAATGCAAAACGGCGCACAAGCTTCACTGCACGTCACGTCCTGGCGGCGGCCAATGGTGGTCGCGCATTCGCGTCACGTGCCACTTGGAGCGTCAAAAATATGCGGGAAAACTTTTTTTTTTTCTATTGCGAGTATGAAACTATAGAAGGAGTCAGCGAAAAGATGAAGGCTTGCTCTTGTTGGAGCAACGAAAATGGCTGGAGACTCCAAACTGCCGAGGGATCCGAGCTCAAAAACTGCTAAAACGTGTTTGGTGACTTGGACGTGTATCGGCCGCTTCACAAGGTGGCCTCGCGCCCCCCCACACGTGCAATGTTCTGAGCCGCTGAACAGCGTTCAAACACATATTCCTATAACTTCTAGGGCAAATTTTGGGACAATTTGTTTTGTTTATGAAACTAGAAGGTACAAAAATTTATATAACAAAAAAAAAATTTTCGGAATAAAAAAGTTTTTTCTTGGTTTGCATCTCTCTTAACGGCGGCACTGCTCTTTACAGGCGGCGGGCATCCAGAAGCGCGTGGCCCGGACCATCGGCATCTCGGTGGACTATCGGCGGCGCAACAAGAGCGTGGAGAGCCTGCAGCAAAATGTGCAGCGGCTCAAGGAGTACAAGTCCAAGCTCATCCTGTTCCCACGCAAGGCCGCCAAGCCCGCCAAGGCAGACGCCTCCGTGAGTTCCACTCCCCTCACATTATTTAGCTTCGGGATTGGGTCAGGTTTTTTTCGTTCGCTCTGCTCCGGCATAATTTAAATTGCTTTGCACAGATTTTACAGTATTCAGATCATAAAATGAGTGGTGGTAACTATGTCAATAACCTATAGGAGGGGTTCTCAAACTTTTTGGCCTCACGGAACCCCATGAAGCCTCAAAAACTGCCGCAGAACCCCCCCTCCCCCTCCATATTTGCCGACTGAGAAGCAACAGATGCACAATTGCAGGCAGTTTTGCTTGTGTTGCTTCCCATATATCCCCACCATATCAATCGCAATGTCAGTACAAAGTGGGATGAAGGTGCTTTGCATGATCCTGCCGTGCAGCCTGCATCATGGGGGGGGGGGGGGGGGGGGGGGAGAGAGAGAGAGAGAGAGAGAGAGAGAGATAGAGGGAGGGGGGTTGCGATTTGTATGTTTGCAGAACCCATGAGACCAGCTCATGGAACCCCTGTGTTCCCCAGAACCCAGTTTGAGAACCCCTGTCCTATAGTATGTTTTGTGAGTAGTATATTAGGCTGCATTTCGTGCAGTATCGAAATTTGATTACCATAAAGCGAGTTGTAGTCTTGTCCTATTTGTGGCCCGTGGCCCTTAGAATGAAACGAAATTCTGCATTGCCTTGCAACCAAGTAGTGTATACCAAGAATTGTTGTAGTGATTGTTGCAGTTACATTTTTGTAACTGCAACAGTCCCTCATGTCCACAAATCCCTCAAATCTGTCCACAAAAATCTGGTGGCAATGAGGGAAAAGGGTGCACTTTTTCTTGGGTATTTGTGGGTCAATGAGGCAAAGTAACACCTAATACCCGGAGTTCTGTCATGGACACTCTGCAAATGTCAAGCATTATATGTACAAACACTAGGCCCCCTCTCCACAGTTTCTATAGACCTCCAAGGATTGTCTCGCGTTCAAAGTTAAGTCCGGAAACCGTTTTGATTAACAGCGTCTGACCTAGTAGTTTCACCAAGTTAGTTGGGAAAATATTCCCAAAGGCACAAACTAAACACCGGGTTAGAAAAGTGGTAGTTTTGGTAACCAGGGCCACAACACGGACACTTGAATGTACTGTACATGGTTTCTCAGGCCTGCTTCAAACGAGGCAATTTTCCCAGCAATTTCGGTGTTGCTAGCAAGTTTGTTCTCTAGCTTTGTCTCAATCCTTGTGGTGCAACATGAATCACTAGGATCGAGGCTGGCTTAAAACGGGCGAGCAGCTGTGACAACTGGAAACGTTTGATGCGGCAGCAGCCAATCAGGGGTGCTGCTATATTTTCGCTTGAGGACATGATGATCATGTCAACTAAAGACTTGGTTCTGGTTTCAAATGGATCATTTTTGGGAAAAAATCATTTCAGAAAGTTGAATTAGTACTTAATAGTGCAAGAAGACGACTGTCGCTTCAGGATGGTTGGATAAATTAATCCAGTTGAACCTTTTGAATTCGGTGGCTGCTTGCGCCCCCTATGTAGCGTGTCTAACCCCATGGATGTCGTGTGCTGCAGGAGGAGGAGCAGAAGCTGGCCACGCAACTGAAGGGAGTGGTGATGCCCCTGCGCAAGGTGCGGCACTTCGAGAAGCCCCGGGTGCCCACGGAGGACGAGAAGAAGTACGAGGCCTACGTGCACCTGCGCCAGGCCAAGGCCAAGGCACGCCTCTGGGGCCTGCGGGCCAAGAAGGCCAAGGAGGCCGCAGAGAGCCTCGAGGCACAGGCCCCCAAGAAGGCCTGAGGCCACCAATAAAAGCGTCCAGAAAGAGTGTACACATGTCAGCGATGGCGTCGTATGCTTCCTTCGCTCTTTCTCCTTTTGCTGGTTGAGAGTAGTAGGAAAAGCTGCAACACGAATCACTAGGAATGAATCACTGCTTGCCACGATTGGAGGAAACCTCCAATCGTGGCAGGCAGAGAACTGAGGTACCTCCAGTGGGGCGTGCCCTGCTGGAGGTACTTTAGTTCTCTCGCTTACCAGTGAAAGTTTCTCGGCTTCCACGACACTTCAGCGTGGCTCCAAGCACATGCTGGAGGTCAGCGTCCAGGCAAGATGTGCTGAGCCTCCAGGCTGTGGCCACATTGGTGGTGCCTGGTGTTGGTGCACATTATCTGAATGTGTTTTACAACCCGATGGACAAAGGTGGCAATGCACAGAAGGTGATCATTGGAATGATGTATATATTCATGGACTGTTCCCAGGTTACCCAAAATCCCAAGCTTCATTTCGAAATTCGCGAAACTACAAATGAGGGCCTTGTGGAATCAAATGGACTGTTTTCGAAGTTGCGCCAAGAAAACTGCATGCTGGGAACCAACTGGCCGCCGGAGTCGTGTGCTTCCGACTTAAATCAACTTGTGAAGCATTTGTCTGCTATTTTACAGAGGTGACTTGCAGGCATCCCCAGTGCAGCATATTTCGGCCTCTGCAGTAGCCTGAATGGCCAGTCAAAATCTGAACTTTGCTGACTGGTACCCAGAATGCATCGTGTGGTGGTTACTGCCCCGCTAGGGTTGCTTAGATTTTGGAAAAGGTTGTTTTTCTTTTTTTTTTTTTTTTTTTTTTTGGCGAAGAGCTACGGGAGCCTGGTTGACCTAGAGCATTATATAGCTTCCGTAGGAGCTTGACCTTCCGACCAGAGCCGACTAGCTGTTTGGAGCGTTTTCTTCTGGCATCAAAATGGCTGACGTCTGCCATATTTGCTAGTGAATGACATGGAGTGCACTCGGAAACGTTAATGTTGGCTGGTAACTTGTTGATTCAGATACTTTTGTGAATGCTTCTGCAGGTGTAAGATGCATTGAAATATAATGACCAGTGAGCGTAGAAGGAAAGGGTGCCCATACTTTGTCATTGCCTCTACTGCAATAAGATGATCTGGCGGGCTAGTTTCGTCCTATAGATGTCTATCATTCGCATCATTCATGGGCGTGCAGAAAACAAGAAAGGAAAGAGACAGGAAGTGGTAGGACAAACGGTGCAAGTTATATCACAACTTTTCCTCGGGCTTACATTACAAAAATTATCTCGAAAGGTAGAATGCCTGATTCGGTGTTTTTAGAGCGCAGCTCTTAGGGGCCCGTTCCCGGCTTGAGCGGCGTAACCAAGGTCACGTGACCCCCCCCAGGGTCACGTGACCCCACCCGCCGAGGTCACGTGACCTGCCCGATGACGTCACCGGCATCCGCATCATCATCACTGATGACGTCACCCGCATCGTCATCAGTGACGTCACTGATGACGTCACCCGCATCGTCATCAGTGACGTCACTGATGACGTCCCCGGCATCCGCATCGTCGTCATCACCGATGACGTCATCGTCATCATCACGGATGACGTCATCAGTGACGTCATTGACATCGTCATCATCGCTGATGACGTCATCGGAATCCGCATCGTCATCGTCACTGATGGCATCGATCACTGATCTCTATGACAATTGCTGGATCGCGCTTCCCCGCTTGTTCGCTGCAGCGCAAGTGAAGCCACCGGGCTTCACTCGCTTGGGATACGATTTGCCGTTTTTGCTAGCCTTTGCTGCGGTTTTCCAGCGTGCTGACGACACGTTTTCTACTCGTTCGTCGTCATTCGCCGGAGAAGTTTTTTGAAGACTGTGTATTGTTGAGACTTGCCGTTGTGAACACGTGGAAAATTTTACGAAAGTGCAGTGTCGCAGGAAAAAGGCACAACGCGTCAAAAGGAAGGGCTGGCGGCGTGTTCAAAGCTTCCTTGGCACGCCGAAGTGCCGTGTCTCTGTGCCTTCGCACGCTTGGATACCGACCAAGAACCGACGCCGTGTGTATGTGTTCAGCGAGTGCAATGTGCGTGAAGCTGTTCGTGCCTCTGGATCAGCGTCTTTTCCCCTCGCGGTTTAGGAACGAGCTTAATCCAGCGTCCACTAGCGACGGAAGATGGGGAGAAGGTACGTCTTTTTTTCGTCCTTAGACGATTTACACAATACCGTGCACAACAGCTCCTCATCACTGATCAGTGCTGGCTTATTATCAACCTACGCGACTCGCCTAATTGTAATTGGTCAACAGATTGCACACGACCATATCAGCCGCGCTTCAAAGATTTTCATTCTCGCCGTCTTGTACTTTTGCTTTCGAAAACCCCCCCTGGCTCCACAACGTTGCCCTATTCGTGCTCCCACGGAATCTATTAGAGTAGATTTGGGACATAGCCATGGTTAATATAGTACATAAGAATACGTACAGATCTCCCCCTTTTATTGATAGCAACTCACCGGAACAGCTGGACGATCCAGAACTCCGTGGCCGATATATATAAAATAATCTAAAGGCATCTACGCGCGACACACGTTCAGAACTTTGGCGCGGCGTCAATTCTTGACCGGTATCCAAGCGTGCGAAGGCACAAAGATGCATCACTCGGCGTGCCAAGGAAGCTTTGATCACGCCGCGACACCGGCGACACGTTTTCGACGAGTTGTACCTTTTGATACGGCTTCACGCACATTGCACTCGCTAAACACATTCACACGGCGTCGGTTCTTGGTCGGTATCCAAGCGCGCGAAGGCACAGAGACACGGCACTTCGGTGGGCCAAGGATGCTTTGAACACGCCGCCAGCCCTTCCTTTCGACGCGTTGTGCCTTTTTCCTGCGACACTGCACTTTCGTAAAATTTTCCACGTGTTCACAACGGAAAGTCTCAACAATACACAGAGTCTTCAAAAAACTTCTTCGGCGAATGACGACGAACGAGTAGAAAACGTGTCGTCAGCACGCTGGAAAACCGCAGCAAAGGCTAGCAAAAATGGCAAATCGTATCCCAAGCGAGTGACGCCCGGTGGCTTCACTTGCGGGAGCGGCAAGCGCGATCCAGCAATTGTCATTGAGATCAGTGGCATCGATGGTCGTCTTTTGAGAGCAGGAAGGCAGTTAGTAAGTTGAAATTTGAACAAAGGTTGACTGAAATGGATGATACGCGGTGGGCACGGAAGGTATTCAAATATTTGTACATGAAAAGTTTAAACACAAAATGGACAAACCGAATTCGAAAGCTTACACTTAAATACCTACACACTGGTGATGGGGCTGAACAGACTACTTCAGTGAAAAAAGGGGTGAAAGAGGCAGAGAGGAAAATGTGGGAAGAAAGAATGCAGGATAAATCAGCTCTAACAGTGTACAGGTCACGAAAGCAGGACATAAGAAAGGAAAATGTTTTTGACAATTCAATAGGAAGTTCTTTGCTGTTCGAGGCGAGAACGGGGGCTTTGAGGACGAGGACGTATAGGGCTAAATTTCAGGAGATAGACACTTTATGTGCTGCTTGCCATAATGAGAGTGAGACACTTGAGCACTTGGTATTAAAGTGCACGGGGCTTCGTCCTGCACTCCCTGAGGGGGTAACAGATCTGGACGGGGCCTTGGGGTTTGCTGGAGACGATGGAGGGACGGAGGAGAAGAGGATTGCAGTCACAAAGAGGCGATTAGAAGATTGGTGGAAATTATCTAGGGAAAATTGAATGATGCAGAACTAACTAGCACAGCTGGGGACAGGCGGGACAGAGGAAAATTGGGACTCCCTCCCGCGTGGCTCCGGCCCAAAGTCTCAACCCTGTCTCCCAGTGGGTCCGGTGCGGGGGTAACGCCGACAAGGTCTGACCAGAGGAAAATTGGCGACTCCCTCGCCGGGGGGAAGAGGCGGGGGGTGATGTTTTTAGTTTTTTTGCCCGATCCCCCGAAGGTCATCCTGGTGATATCCCACACTACCTGGTGATAGTTAAGGGGTAGAAAATTGGCTTAGAAGGGCGCGAGAAATCAAATCAAATGTTTGTCTTTCTTAGACTTAGGCTAGGTGGCGCAAGCTACCACCCGATACAAAGGGTATAGCCAGTAACATCCGGCATCGTCACGTGACCCTCTAAGGTCACGTGACCCCCCCAAGTCACTTGACCCCCCCCCCCCCCCCCCCGTACCCTTCCCTCCTCCTCCTCAAGAGCTGCGCTCTAATTCGGTGTTACAGGGAGTTGTAAACGGCTTCCACTTTTACGACCGAGAGCAAGGCTGCAGAAACTGCTAATAACTTGCATACGTAGAAAATCGTGCTAATCTGTATATCAGTTTGGAATATAAAATCAGCTAATGAAGTTATCTTGTTATTACTCTTCCGGCTGGCATAAAACAAGATTATACTAAACTAATAAATGTGATAAAAACGTCAAATTAACCTAGGCGGCGCAAGCCGCCACCCTATTCGAAATATTAAGTTTACCTTGCCTTGCTTAGTCTATTCATACGACTACCGTTTTCCCGCGAAAACCTGACGTGCGTCGCGTGTGTTTGTCGGCGTTGTCGTTCCTCTGTTAGCGCGCTGTACGAATTACGAATGCTGTGAAGCGGAGTTTGAGCCCAACGTTCACGAGAAGCGGTCACAATGAGTCGACGTGAAGAGGACACCTTTAAGATCCTCGTCGCCTCGGACCTTCACCTGGGCTACGAGGCCAAGGACGCGCTGCGCAGTGAGTCAGGTAAAGATGTCGCTGGTCTGCCGCTGGCGTGGCCTAAGAAGAGGGGAGGAGCCTGGGAGAGGGGAGGGGGAGGGGCTATTGCGGAGCGCCAATGGCGAGGTGCGCGGAGGAGCGCGCGTCGGGAAGCAGGCACGGGCGCTGCGGGCTCCTATTTCAGTTGCTTTGTTGGAGTACAGATGGCGCTACGAGCGCGCTGTCGCGTGGAGTGGGGAAGACAGGGCGACAGGGCAAACGGGCGCACCAAGGAGGCGGACACCTCTTTGAGTTGCTTTGTCAGAGTACAGATGGCGCTACGAGCGGCGCAGTGCGCTCGTGACGGTTGTGCGCCTTTGCGCTACGCGGTGAAACGGGCGCACGGTCGCACTAGCGACGCCGGCATGTTGTCGCAGCCCTGTCGTGACGGCTCTTGCGGCGCGCCGCCGTGTTTCGCTTGCTTTTTGACGGCTCTGCGCTCGGTCGCGCGTCGTCGCTCTCTCTGCGCGCTTTTAAACATGGCGCTAGTCACGCGATGAACTTGGGGTCCCTTTCGTGCGCGCTTTTAAACTGCAGATGACGGGGCTCTGTTGCGCTTTTGAGTTTATACATTTGAACAGTGATTGCAGTGATGTCTTGTAAAATTTAATCGGAATATATAAAGCCATCCCTGATTGATAGAGTTTGACGTCTATTTTTAGGTTATTAATTGTCGTATCAATACCGCTTTTCTTCTAGCAGTCTTCTAGCTGAAAGGCTCAATATAAAAAAAAAAAATAAAACGCATTACGTATAGTGCTGGTACCTGATCCCCCCCCCCCCCCCCCCCCCTCACTAACGGAGATGAAAGCGGGGAACAGAAATAACTCTCGTATAGTAATAATGTTATCATTTTTGCATGAAAAAGCAACGGTAGAAAATTGCGAAGGGAAATAAATTTCCTTATCACACATTTATGTTTTCTTTTCACATTTTTTTCGTTAGTTTCAGTACGGATCTTGTGATCCGAAATTGGAGCAAGCAAGCCCAAAAACACAACTACGCAAAGCAGCAGAGACTGGGTTAAAGAATTATACATATATCATTTTGGGACTCCACAATTAGCTCACATTTCTCACCTACCTTCAAAACAACTTCTCACAAGGTGTATCAAGTGATGAAAAAAAAAAAAAAATACAGTAGAGATATTTCGACTTGTGTACGTGATCAACCTATCGCGCGAGCACGGACATAGCAACCGGAGCAGCTATCATCCAAGCATTTCAGACTGCTGCCGGGCGAAAACAATAAAAATGAAGGAACAGCTGCACTGCGCGATAAACCGGCCCTCACGTTAGGGTGCCAGTTTGGAATTTTGCTTTTTGTGGTGGTGCTCAGATACGGGTTCCCCACCAATGCAAGCCTCGTCATCGTCCGTTCATTAGAGCTCAGTTATAAAATTTATTGAGGTTTTTCGTGTTTTGTTTTTTGCTTCCAAAGCACCTGTCAACGTGCTCCCGGCACTACTTGACCGCGCGCAGAGCAGAAGAAGTCGCGGTGTTACAAAGTCCCTACATAAGAGCAATTCTTACAGGCTGCGACATTCTTTGAAGCGCCGACGGCTTGACGGAGCACTTTTAAGGAAGCGAATGGCGGCGCACAGCAGAAGACTGAACGGAATGACGCCATTTTGTTTCAGCGGAATGGGCCCCGTCATTTGGATTGTTTCTCGTTACTTGTAAAATTAATAATGAAGGGACTTTACAGTGTTAAGAAGCGGGGCGTCCCCTACATCGTGATGTCACCGTCCTCCAAGCGCCGGCCGCTCCCAATGCACCCTTTGGCTACGCGGTCACTGTCGTGCTGTCGACTGTCGTGTGACCGCCAGTGACCGCCTGTGGCCGTGTGGACGTACACTTTCGCTCGCGGCTCCCGGAAGGCTCCCACTTGCTTTGCAGTCACTTGCTTTCTCTTTCTTTATGACAGCATTTCAGAAATTTCATAACATAAGTATCGTGATAGTTTAATACCAAAATTTATTTCTCTTAAAAAAAAGAAAAAAGAAATCCTCGTTGCCCTTTTTAGTGCGACACCTTTAAGCTCAATTATCATACTCAATCTCGAGCCCTTGTTTGTTTCATTCTCCCAAGCTTGCCGATCGATACCAGGGGGTCCGGAGACTGTGCCAGTCTGACAAAGGCACGAAAGAAGCCAAGCGAATTCGATCAATCTTAATGTACGAGAGTTTCCCAATCAACTCATAAACCGTCATACATACGCAGAATGGGAGTCGTGGAAAAATGGACAGAAATCTAACGACACTTTTTTGGCAGTGCCAGATAATATGTGTGTGTGTGTAAGGGGGGGGAGGGGGGGGATCATAACGCGTTGACACGTGCTGAAACGCGCAGTTGTTCGGCGGCGCAAGTGCACATGCTTCGGACGGTGGCGAATTCTGAGTTAGGTTCCGAATTGAATTCTACATTGATATTGGGAACTTCTAGCAATCCGTTACCGTGTTCCGCGTACTGCGCTACCGTCCGCTCAAGGTATCATCGGGGCGCGCCCTTAAAAGCATGCTTCAGAGGCTCCTGTAGTGCGGTACGCGAAACACGGTAGCGGATTGCTAAAAGTCCCTATTACTACTATCTATGACTACAAACTGTTCAGAACGCTATTGAGCCAAAATATTGTGCTACTTTTACTCTGAAATTGTTTCTCCCCACGTATCGTCACCTCTAGTTGACTTCTTCAGACATGGCTGGCATACGTCAATCGTACAAACCCACCGTAGGGACGTACCGTTCAGAAGTCTGGCACTCTGAAACTATTATGTTTTCTTGTTTTTTAGACTACCCAGCTATGCGGAGAGTCAAATAAAAACACAAAAAGCTGTATGAAAGTAAGACAAAGCATAGAAGAGTAAAATAAGGAATAAGGAGAAATATAGTAGATTTTTTATTCTGCGATGAATATGAACAGAGTTTTAAGTCGCACTGAATAAACTGATGCACTTTACACACAGAAGTCGGATCTATTTCAAGATACGCGTATTCATTTCAAATACAATTCATAATGCGACCGTTGGATATAAAGAGAAAAACAATTATATGTTGCTCTTTCAAGACGAAATCAAAACTAGCCCATAAAGGGGGCGGTAAAACAAATTCTGTATTTTGCGCGAATACGGCCTATACCCACGTCAGACGGGAAGGTAAATGTCATTTTGATCGAATGTCATTCATCGCTCGGCGAATCAGCTCGTGATGCTATAGTTCTGCATGTGGCGGGTGCACGCGCAGCGGCTTATTAAACACGCGGATTGGCCGAGCTGTAATGTCATTTTGCTCAAATGTCATTTAACGTGCCCGTCTGGCAGGGGTATTAGTACAGTGGTCTCAAACTTATTTGAGTGTCGGCTTATAGATTAGACACGACAACTGCGTGGGCACTCGACTTCGGCTCGTAACAGTCAATGCCTCGGCGGACACTCGGATCGTGGCTCGTGTCCACCCACTGCGGTGATGAGAATAGCCGTAACAATTCCTGGATTCCTGGAGCCGTTTAACGGCATAGGATTGGCACGAGGCCACGTGGCCGCTTGTTCTGGCTTAGATTTGAGGGGATAGACGATGCATATAGATATTTCTCGAATTTTTTTAGCGACTGCCCATTGCCTAGAAAGAAAAACTAAGTCAAGTTTATTCAGTTATTAACGTTAGTGAGTGATTTTAAGTAGTAATTGGCGAAGGTACAAAAATCGTTTCGTGACTCCTTTGATGGTGATATTTATATTTTTTTTGAAGGCGAGAATCCCGAGCTTTTAGCTTTATTTTTGGCAGTTGCTCCTGTTGATCGAGAGATCGCGCAACCGAGATGCATCCCTCAACGAATAGCTCGCTCTTGCATTACAAAAAGCTGGAAAGCAAAAAATAAAACAATACAAAGGGCAAATGAACACGGATAAGTTTAAACTATGTGAATACGTTAAAAGAGCAGAGGTACTTTTCGAGCAAAAATGAATCGACGACACGAGATCACTACGGCGCATGCCATGTCTAGCGGTCGAGACATTGGAACCGCGGGACTCGAAGCTGATAGCCTACGGGCCGCGTGTTTGAAACCCCTGGCTTAGAACGAATCCCTGCACGTTCATGACCAATGAAACACGCGTTCGTTTTTCTCCGCACGAAATGAACGTCGCAGAAAAAAGAAAAAAAAAAAAAAAAAGCAGCGTTTATTTTCTCAACTTGCAGTCAGAACAAGCGGCCGAGTGATCTGGAGCCGATGATATGCCGCCGGTGTGGATCATAGCCACACGCTGAGGTTGGCAAAGCACAGGACACGCGCTGAGTTTCAGACATTATTTGGGTTCGGCGTCGTGATTGCCGCGATCGGACACACGAGCCACTATACCCGAATGCTTGTCGAGCTATCGATCATCACGAGTCCAAATCGGGTGCTCACGCGATGCTCGGGTTCAATCTATGAGCCGCATTTAAATATTATCACTAGGGGACTATACCAACACTGCGACCCCCACGCTACGTCATCAAGTTTTGCGAAGGATAGACTGAAAGAACACGCTCAGAAGTTTCTCGGTCAGTGGTGTTGCGTGCGGGTATACCTGGGTCCCACGAGCGCCAGTAAACTCGTGTAAAGTGAAACACATTCCAACTGAATGTCCTTGCACCGCCCATTTGTAGGGGTAGTGCAACAATTCTAGTGTTAAAAAAATTGTCAGTTTTTTTTTCTTTTTCTTTTTTTTGCATCCAATCACTACGAATGACATGTAACAAAACGACGAATAACTGAGGAAAGTGAGACGTTTAACAAAACGAATTTGTACAAATCCACGATCCCGGCACGTCGCAGAACAAAGTTGTTTTTCTTGTCTTAAAAAAAAAAGAAAAGAAGAAAAAAAGAGAGATGCTTTTGATGGCATTGCGGCCATCTTAGTGGCATTTACAGTCAGTGCCTCCATCACGCGCTCTTTGTCTTTCGCAGCGCTTTGGCTAGAGTGTACTTTGGCTGCGTGT